CCGTCCGCGCTCGAGATCTATGTGCCGGGCAACCATACCCACGTGTCGCCCGTGTGCGTCTCGTACCGCGACGCCAACTTCCGCGCGAACGTGGAGCGGTTCCTCGCCCCCGACGCGCCGACCCCGCCGCCGCTGCGGCCCACCGGCACGGCGCAGTGCGTCGCGCCACTGCAAAACATGGCGGAGCGAGTGGACGCGCAGGTGGACGTGCCGCGCTGGCTGCCGGAGCTCGTCTTTGGCGACCTCGACGAGCTGCGTAGCGCGGTCAAGCGGCCCGGCGTGAACATGGAGGATTTTGTGTAGTACACGCACATGCACAACAACATGTACATGTTGTAGCAGATCGGGGTGGGCGCTGGGCGGTGAGCCGGATGCGGCGAGCTACGAAAGCCGCAGGCGTCGCTCGCAAGGCAGCAGCGCCGCACCTCTGATACGTTTTCACTTTTCTGTCTAGTGTGCGAGAGCGAGATGGTGCGGAACCCCTTTTGTCTACTGAATGTGTCTACTGAGCATAGAGAGGCGTTGTAGGAGTCGCATGTCAATTGTCGTACGTACGTACTTTTAGCTCTCTCTCTCAATTGTCTCATGTGTGGCGGGGAATGTCTGTGTACGTACGACGTCTCCCGACATGGCGACAAGTGACAACACCCGCCAAACCACACGAAAGAGACCGCAGGGTGGAGAGCACGCGCTTGTTGAGTTGTGACGGATGGAAGGGCGAACAGGTGAGACGTCTCTGTCTCACGGGTGTTTCGTCCCTGTCTCAACGCTGTGTCACAAATGCGTCTCAGTAATGTCTCACATACTCTCACCGATCTCTGTGTTGTCTCAGCCTGGTCACAGCAACAGTCTCACTTTGTCTCAAAGATGTCACACACACGGCACAGTCACCTTCAGAGACATGTTTGAGACACCAGTGAGACAAATGTTCACCCCTGCTGTGTGACAATGTCGTCTCTACTACGTCTCCTCTTTTCATCTCAGAGCGTCTCACACTGGCATGGGTGTGGCAGCTGTGAGACGGGGCAGGAGACAGTCGTGAGACAGGAGTTTGATCAAGAGAGCGGGACGCCAAGGCCAGCGAGCCAGGGGAGAGATGTGAGGAGCGACGCACTGTGTCAGCAAGCAGAGATGGTGTGAGGCCACGTGTGACGTGGGTGTGGCATGGGTGTGGCAGCTGTGAGACGGGGCAGGAGACAGTCGTGAGACATGAGTTTGATCAAGAGAGCGGGACGCCAAGGCCAGCGAGCCAGGGGAGAGATGTGAGGAGCGACGCACTGTGTCAGCAAGCAGAGATGGTGTGAGGCCACGTGTGACGTGGGTGTGGCTTGGATGTGGCAGCTGTGAGACTAGAGTGAGACTGCAGTGAGACAACAGCGAGTGCAGTGAGACATCAGAGAGGCGCGGTGGGCGCCACTCGAGACGTGTGTGGCGGGAAGGAGAAGGGGGGGGGGGGGGGGGGCACCGGGAGGGTGCGACCCTGGCCAATCACGCCCTGGCCGCCGGGCTTCCCGTTGACCGACTTGTCAATCACCCATCCAGCGGGCAGGAGCGGCTGTGCAGGGGGCGGGCGGGCAGCAGCTCCTGGTCAGCACAGGGAGCAGCTAGGCCTCGTCGGGCCGGTGAGTATGTGGGGCAGCTGTTGTGGCAGACCGTGGTCAATGGTCTGAGAGGAGGGGGCCCAGTGAATCTACAGAGGGCGGCTCACAATGGTCGGGTTGAGGTTCTTGGAGTGGCAGAGCGTGGAGCGCATCATCGCCGCGCCCTCCGAAATCGTGGCGTCAGGCATGCCATGCACGGCCATGCCGTAGGGGCCCCAGGTAAAGGTGTTGAGGAAGCGTCCCGAGTCGTCCTCCTCCATCTGAGCGGCACGCCGGGGACCGCCCCCGCGCGCCGAGCGCTTGGCCTGTTCCATGAGGGCGCGGCCGATTGCCGCGTGCTTCTTGACACACTCCGAGCGGAGCATCTTGAACTGATCCTCGTCGATCTGTTCGGCATCGAAGGAGTCCTTGAGGCCTTTGAGCTCCGCCAAGAGCACGTCATTAGCCGCCCCGTTCTGTGGGCAGAGAGGGGGCAGGCCGTCAACTCGCACGCGGCGGCCGCGGCGGCCAGAGGGGCGCGATGGGGACCAGAACCATATGGCCTCGTTGGCGCGAGTAGCCAAGCGCTGTAGTGCCACCCACCGTGCATAGCTATTGCGGGGATGGCGTCGCCTGGCGGACGAGGTCGTTCTCAGTGGGCTGCGACTCCTGCGACATGCTCTCTACCTCTGCCTCTGATGCTCGGTGCTGCCGATTGATGCGATAGTCTGGGACGCGTCATGCATGTTCCGAAGCAGAGACAGAACGAGTGAGACGGAAAGCGCCCCGCAACGGTGTAATCTTTCGCAACGCTCGCAAAAAAAGAGACAACATTTACCGTTGTCACCTGAGCTCCGGCTTGCAGCCGCTGCATCAACATTCGTCGCTACTGAGGTACTGTATAGTTAGAACCTTCGTCGAGCGAGTGTACTCGAGTAGAGCGAGTGTTACCGAGTGAGACGAACTCTCCATCGCGCTACACTTCCATCTCACGCCTCACACTCCTCTCCGCCTATACCCTACCGAAGCCGCCACCGGCAGATTCCCACCGCCGCCGCCTCCCGCTCCGCCTTCACCTATTTGCGGGCTTCCGGCTTCGGGGAGGTGGGCTTGGCGGGGGCGGCGGTGGGCTCGGTTGTGGTGGTGAGGGCGAGGGCGGCGAGGGCGGCGGACGGGACGGCAGCGGCGGCGAGCGCGGAGGCGGCGAGGGCGGAGGCGGCGAGGGCGGCGGGCTGGGCGGCTGCGGCGAGGGGGTGGGGGGCCGCGGCGGGGGCAATGGAGGCGGCGTGCTCGGTGGTGGCGAGGGCGGTGGTGGCGAGGGAGGTGGCGGCGAGAGCGGCGGAGGCGAGGGCGGCGGCGGGCTCGGCGGAGGCGGGCTCGACGGCCGCGGCGAGGGTGGAGGCGGCGAGGGCGGGGGGGGGGGGGGGCGGCGGGCTGGGCGGCGGCGGCGGCGAGGGCGGCGGTGAGGGTGGCGGTGGCGAGGGCGGCGGTGGCGAGAGCGGCGGAGGCGAGGGCGGCGGCCACGACGGCGGCGGGGGCGAGGGCGGCGGCGGGCTCGGCGGAGGCGGAGGCGGGCTAGGCGGAGGCGGCGAGGGTGGAGGCGGCGAGGGGGGAGGGTGGGGGGCGGCGGCGGGCTGGGCGGCGGCGGCGGCGAGGGCGGCGGTGAGGGTGGCGGTGGCGAGGGCGGCGGTGGCGACAGCGGCGGAGGCGAGGGCGGCTGCCACGACGGCGGCGGGGGCGAGGGCGGCGGCGGGCTCGGCGGAGGCGGAGGCGGGCTAGGCGGAGGCGGCGAGGGTGGAGGCGGCGAGGGGGGAGGGTGGGGGGCGGCGGCGGGCTGGGCGGCGGCGGCGGCGAGGGCGGCGGTGAGGGTGGCGGTGGCGAGGGCGGCGGTGGCGACAGCGGCGGAGGCGAGGGCGGCTGCCACGACGGCGGCGGGGGC